TGAGCTTTGTCAAACCAGGATACTGTCAAACCAGGGCAGGACATGAAGGGGATCCTGTAGTTCCCTGCCACCAGTTCCACTGAGGCAGGAAGTTGTGCCCCCTCCCTGCATCAGCTGTGATTCTCACCCTTGGTTTCTTCTAGGGACCCTGAGTTAGGGTCTTCAGTGACTTGGGGCTGGGCTAACAGAAATGCCCAGTAGAGGCAGGGGGGCAGAGCCATGGGCAGCTAGGTATGATTTAGTTCTGCTATTCTGCTCCTGATGCCACTCTGGGCTCAGGCCAGCATCAACCTCAGGACCCAAACACCTTTTTGGGTTTTCCAGGCCAGACACTTTACTAAGTCAGATGGTCACAGCAGCAGGAACCTCTCCAAGAGCAAAAGAAAGAGCAAAACAAGAAAGCAACACAGAACCAGAAACATTGCTCTGGCCTGGGATTTAACCTGCCAGAGCCTGGCTGGGGAGATAGGACCCAGGGCTCTGAAATGTGGAGAGAGGATGGGCTGAGCCAACCTAGGCCCATAGTCCACATGCCAGAGGAGCTGATCCCATTCCCAGCCCTGTCTGTGTAAGCCCCACACTGTAAGTCCTGATGTTATAGTGCAGGCATTAGCTAAAGTGGCAGATGGCATGATCTGAAACACATAGACTGTCACACAGCCATTCACACCACATGCCCTCTAACACATGACCTAGAACATTCTACTCTCAGAGCAAGGTGTCTTGGTCAAATGCCAAGCAGCAGCTCCAGTGCTCGCCCAGCATGGTGGGCCCACCATGGTCTCCAGCTGCCATCCCCAGTGCTGCCTCTGTCTCTTTAAATTCCTGAAATCTGTATACTGTACCGGCCTCTGACACACACAGATGTCTCTGAGACACTCACCTAGTCAACTCAACACCCTGCATCTCAGTGGAATGGGGCTCCATGATTTGAAGGTAATCACAGCCACTGACCCTTTGTCCTACTGATGGTGCTGTCTGCTCCCTGTGTGGGGCTGAGGAATGCAGCCCCTGTGTCTTAGAGGGTGTGTGTGTGGGGGGCACAGTGGGACTTGTTGTCTCCCTGAGGTTTCACTGTGTCCTAAGGTGGGTGCTGTAGGTGTCCTTTTTCTGTCTCTTATAAACCACAAAGTTGCAAATACCCCAGATCTCCATACATACATGGGGGTTTGCTAAGGATTCTTTGTGGAGAACTGCATGGTCAAGGGCATTCACATCTAAAATGCTGGCAGATGTGACAAAAGATCTTCCATATAGCTGCCCGCTCCACATGCTCATAAGCCCAAGTGGCATAGGCTTCATATGCTGCTCCCGCCCCATGGATGTCTGCAGTTCGTTCACATTCTGTGTTTCCTAGAACTGCCTCTGTATGTGGCCACTGTCTCTATGCTGGTTCTGTGGCTTGTCACCATGTGGCAGCTACTTTGTTGGAGGTATTACCCCCCAGGTGAAAGCTAGAGCCTGCTCTAATGCCTTCTGGGTTTGAGGTGTGCCCTACTCAAAAGAGACTACTTTCAAAAATAGACACTGGACTTCTATACCTTTAGACTTCTATATCTTTGTGACTCCTCAAATACATCTGTGTTTGATATAAACTAAAGTTCAGAATTCAGCATTTTAAAGTTATCTACCTGACCCAACATTGTCATTGAATGCTTTACTCACTCCTAGTGACTTAAATGCCACTTTGATCAAAGCAAAGCAGAGCAGAGCAGAGCAGAGCAGAGCAGAGCAGAGCAGAGCAGAGCAGAGCAGAGCAGAGCAGAGCAGAGCAGAGCAGAGCAACTCCACCTTTCCTCCATCCCTATTCTTGCCTGTTTTATTCACTCTCCCTGATAGTATGTTCTATATAAATTTCTTTTCTTCCATCTTCACAGTCTCTTGATTGTTTTTAATGACTACAGCTCCCTACAGTTTAGTGGGGGGGGGTACACGTGCAGGGGATAAGCAGAGCAGAGGGGGAAGGATGGGGTGAGAGTTACAGGTAGGGGAGGGGTGTGGCAGGTACCTTTAGATTTGCTCTGAAGTCCCATTCATCTGTATCATCATGACCTCAGTGAACAGACCTATATCTGGGGCTGGCCCTTACAGTCCCAATTGGGCCTCTCCAGGGCTTGTCCCAGGCCCTGCTAGACCCCTCCCCATCCAGGTTCTCTCCTTCTTGAGATCACTTGCCGTCCTTTTCCTCTTCTGACCCCCTCCCCATGGAATAGTTCTAAAACACCCCTCTCACAGTCCTGTAGCAGCAGAAGTCACAGTGTGCACTACATCTTTCCTTTCCTATATCTGGCCTTGGCTCTGGGGTTGCTTCTTTCTAGATCCTTTTTTCCTGAGAGGCCCAGGGGTGGGGGGCAACTTGTGTCCACTGCTATCAGGAGGCCCTGGCCACAAGTAATATATAGCCATATGGCTCAGGCCAGTCTGGTTGTATCTGACCTTGCCCAGTGCTTTCCTGATCCTGTCACTCAGCCACAGCTCCAGCTGCTCCAGGGCTCCATGTAAGTATTCAAGCTTTCACTCTTCTACAGCCATGCTGGTGGTCCTCAGATTCACAGACTGTCCAAGACTACAATGCAGCCAAGCCCCACACTGCAGAGTTCTCAGGAGGTGACCACTGTTTGCCCACAAGGGACCACTTGTGAGCAACAGAGACTTATATTCTTTCATCAATAATGTGTGGCTGAGATGCAGAGAACAGAAACCTGCAGCTCTCCAGCTGACCTGAAGTGCTCAGTGGATATGGCTGATCCCACCAGTTCTGTCATGCACAGCCTATTACAAGTCCCAGCACCAGACCTGCTGCTCCTCAGGTCATAGCAATAGGGTGCTCTGACCTCAAATCTTCTCAGGCCCTCTCAAGTGGCAAAAGGATGCTTCATTAAGGCTCCTGACTTCTCTAACCAAGGCCCAGCAGCCCCCTGAAATAAGACATTCCATACACGGGAAGCATGGGGTATAGAGTCAGAGTAGCCTTGCCTAAGACATCACTAGGCCCAACTCTACCCTGGACCCTTCTGCTCCCAGATGAAAAAGGTTGTGTATAACAAGGGTGAAAAACACAAGAAAGACTGTGCTATGGTGGGGCAAGGGGACACCCTGACTGTGAGAAGCCTGAGGGATGAGGCAGAACACCAAGGGGACACCCAGTTGTGTGGGGATCTACTTTTCTGCCAGCACCAAGCTTTGCAAGTGGTATGTATTATACATATTTCATTATCAAGAAAGGGAAAAGAAGGACCCAGCCTTGCCTCCCAAGGCAACTTTATTTCTAAAGGCAACAGCACAAATTTTCCCTCTGAAGACAATTCAGGTTAACAAGCATGGTCATCATGGTAGTATGCAACTGTCTCACTACTGTGTATCCTGTCTGTGAGCTGAGGGTAAGCCCAGTCACTGGGACACATGGTAGGTGTAAGCAAGGGAAACAAGGGGCAAATGAGGCATTCTAACCATAAATATACAAAACAATGAAAATTTCTACCCTGGGCCAGGGATATAGCTCAGCAGCATAAAAGCCTATGTGGCAAGTGAAAGGTCCTGAGTTTGATCCTAGGTATTACCTGGAAAGAAAGAAAGAGAGAGAGAGAGAGAGAGAGAGAGAGAGAGAGAGAGAGAGAATAAATTTCTATCCTGTTTTAATGGACTATTAGAAAAGTTCCCTTCTCCAAA